AAAGAGACAGACACAATGGTAGAAAAAAGGTGAGGTGAGTACTATAGAATTAGTCGAATATGACATATAGTGAGGTGATGGTAGTTTGAAGTGAGAAGTCAACTGCCAGTTAATAGACTTTTTTGCCGTATGTGTATACGTTGCCCAGAGTGCACCACGTGGAGGTAAGTCTATCGCACACCCCAGGATAAAGAATATTGATGCGCTTATTGAGATTAAAAGAAAAGCTAATTCAAAATTTTTTGAATTATTAGTCTAACAGAGTCACTTCCATTTGATTTCAACAGGAATTAATATATATTACCATAAGAAATTTAAAAATCTCCATGGCACCATTTAGAGGTAAAGTGTCAGGTGACCCTGCAAAAGGCACAAATTCGTCCATTAACAGGAAAAATATGAATTTTCGATATTTTCCAAGTTCTTTGCACATTTAAATTCCACTATATGAAAATTGCTCATTCAATCGATTTCGCTAATATACATTTATTTATTTCAAATGTCAGGCGTTTTGATAGCTATCATTAACCCTTTAGCTGACTTCAGGCTTCACAGAGGAGAGTAACATCAAAATCTCAAAAAGTGGAGAGACAAGCAGACATAAAGTCGGAGAAAAGGTAAGGTGAGTGCTGTGAAAGTGGTTGAATATGACATATTGTGGGGTGATGGTAGTTTGAAGTCAGAAGTCAACTGCCGGTTAATAGACTCTTTTGCCGTATGTGTATACGTTGCCCAGAGTGCACCACGTGGAGGTAATTCTATCGAGCACCCCGATTTCGCTAATATGAAATGGTTCTTGAGAATGAAGAATTTATAAAAAATATACACGGTGCATTATTACATAAATTCACACAAATCTTATTAACAATACTTTTACATCTCTATTTACTTACTTTTGGTTTATTTGTCATAAGCCTGGCACCGTCTCCACTCGTCCTTCTCGTTTAACGGAATTTCAGCCCCCCCCCCCCATTTAACCTAGTAACAGGGCTCAACGTTAATCAAATTTCTCCACTCTACATTTTAGTGATTTTCAGTCTGAGTGACACCTGCAACATTTCAAAAATGCGCAACATTGTAAACTATCTGTGATTAGTGTTGTCGGGGTGGAGGGGTGGAGGGGGGGGGGAAGAGGGTAATAAAAATGGACAAATATCCTTCAATGCGTGGTAGGATTCCACTAAAAGTATGCAAAATTACCAGGTAGCAGGCCACATTCCGGGTTCGTTAAGGTCATAAAATCACAAAAGGCTTTGCAATTTAACAGGGCGCATTGGCTGTGTGGCAGATGTAAAACGGGTGGTTTTTTCACTCTGGTTGACATTTTAAAGACTTTCTTTAAAGTTAATTAGGGAAGGTCACGCATAGATCTGGTTGAACGCATGGAATTAATTTAGCAGTCCAATTTTGTACACCCATATATTGCTCCTTTTCTTTTGCAATGTTATTTATTTTTCTCGAAAATATTCCGCTATTTCAACAGATTATCCATGTCACGGTTCTTCCTCATGGTGCAGGCAATATCCGCAATAATTGAATATTTATAAATGTGCATGGTGACTTGTCTCCCACCCTTAAAATGCCCAATAACATGTCGAGTTATTGAGGCATGGAAACCAATTAGTTGAGCTCAAAGATCGCAGATATGCGTGCCCCGAAGTCAGAAGAACTCAATTCCACAATATCTGCAATATTATTTATCGGGGGGAGGAGGGGGTGTGCGATAGGCATACCTCCATTTGGTGCACCCTAGGTAACATATACTCATTCGGCAAAAGAGTCAATAAACGGGCAGATGATTTCTAATTTTAAACTATCATGACGCCACTATATGTCATATTCCACCATTTCCACAGTATTCACCTTACCCTTTTACCCACATTTGTACCTGCCTCTATTTAAATCTGCAAATAACTCTTCTGTTCCCCCTCTACTTTCTGTGACTTTAATGTTCCTCCCCTCTATGAAGCCCGAAGTGAAACTAAAAGGACAATGATAACTATCATTATTATTATTAATATTATTTCAAATGGCAGGCTTTATGATATTTATCATTAGCCCTTAAACTTTGACTTCAGCTTCCCCCTGGGTGGAAGGTTCATTTATAGCAGTTAATTAATAGCAGTTCATTAGCTGTCTTCTTGCTTCCCAGTATCTCTGCCTTTCCGTCATCGTCTTTAGGGCTTGACATCGAATCATGTGGGTCTTCTCCATTTTCTCCTGTGGGTTACATAGGGGCATGTTGGTTGAGTGTATACTCTAATCTGTGACGGTGTTTTGCCAGGCAATCGTGTCAGCAACGGCTTCGATTCTTGGCCAGTCGGGTATGTCGGAGAGTGCCACTGTCCACTGTTTCTCCTTNAATCATTTCATCACACTACTTTGGCCGAGAGTTTAGTCATTTCTTCTGCAATGCCCTATTTCAATCCTATTGCATTATATATTGCCTTGTCTACGAATGTCGGCCCTGTACACATGTCACTAAGTTTGCAATAGACGCTTAAATGTGCCGTGTTCGTACATGCATCTCCTCAAGTGTCACATGATTATGGCGTTCACTTTAGCCAACTTTCGTGAAGGTTAATCAGGCGATGATAGTACCATTTTCTGACATTCAGTTCATTGCTTGCTTGCAATCAACACCAGGTGTAAGGATTTGGTATGAAGAAAATAGCAAAAATCTATGTACCAATTTCAAAACTTGTATTAAAAATAACACTACAACCTCTTCTTCTCAAGCTAAATTTTGCCCAAACAGACTCAGGAGAAAATATTTCCCATTCACCACTCATGGGTTTAAGGTAGCTAGAACCCGATATTGTTTGAGGACAATTTTCACATGCAACCGGTAGAATATAATTGCAAATGTACGAAATTGTAATGGGAAAGTTACCATAAGCTATAATATTTAAATTTGATTTTTAACTTGTAAATATTATTGACATTGATTTCTTTGTTATTTTTAGGAAACGTTATGCCCCAAGTGTCATTTCCGTTTTTTGGGTTTGTGGAAGAAAAGACTTCTCTCAAAATGAACCTTTCCATTAAAAGAAGGAACCACAACCTCTTTGTGAGTTAAATTTCCTTTTTATGAAAGGGCTGACTATTAATTTAGTTGAGGCACTTGAGTTTTTTATTTTTTACCATCAATTCGAATTCGGATTAAATAATTTTTGCTTTGCATTTTGTAACAATTTCATGTTTTTTTCAAATAACAGTCTTTATGATATTTATCATTAGCCCTTAAACTTCGATTTTAGCTTCCCCCAAAGGGGGAGGGGTATCTATATAGCAGTTAATTAATAGCAATTCCTTAGCTGTCTTCTTGCTTTCCAGTATCTCTGGCTTTCCGTCATCGTCTTTAGGGCTTGACATCGAATCATGTGGGTCTTCTCCATTTTCTCCTGTGGGTTACATAGGGGCATGTTGGTTGAGTGTATACTCTAATCTGTGACGGTGTTTTGCCAGGCAATCGTGTCAGCAACGGCTTCGATTCTTGGCCAGTCGGGTNCCCCAAAGGGGGAGGGGTATCTATATAGCAGTTAATTAATAGCAATTCCTTAGCTGTCTTCTTGCTTTCCAGTATCTCTGGCTTTCCGTTCTTGTCTTTAGGGCTAGACATCGAATCAGGTGGGTCTTCTCCATTTCCTCCTGTATATTACATAGGGGACATGTGGATTGAGTGTATATTCCTAATCTGTGAAAGTGTTTTGCCAAGCAATTGTGTGCGGTACGTAGTCTAAACTCAGCAACGGCTTCGATTCTTGCCCGGTCAGCTATATCGGAGAGTGCCACTGTCCACTGTTTTTCCTTTGCTCGAGATTTAAGTTCGTTGTACAATGAGGTCTGGAATTCTCTCCTGATTAAGGCCCACATTGTGTGGAGAGGCATCGGCCGGTCAATGCATTGCAAAATCGTTGTCCCCTTCTTACCAGGCGGTCCATGCATTGCAAAATCGGTGTCCCCTTCTTAGCAAGTGTGTCAGGAATCTCATTGCCTTTAATGCCACAGTGACCAGGAATCCATTAAAGGACCACTGTTTTGTTTTTCTCTCTCAGCAGCTTTGTTGAACCACTGTTTTGTTTTTCTCTCCCAGCAGCTCATAGCGTTTTCCAATAACCACTGTTTTGTTTTTCTCTCTCAGCAGCTCATAGAGTTTTCTACATTCTATTATCTCAGCTGTTTTGGGTGGCTCTCTGTTTCAAATTGAGGTCTATTATGACTGTGAGTCCGAAAGTATCACCGCTTTGGTGTTTCCTGACTGTGAGTCCGAAAGTATCACCGCTTTGGTAAACCTGACTGTGAGTCCCAAAGTATCACCGCTTTGGTGAATTTAGCTGTTTGGATCTCTCTCTGATTACAATTGAATTTATTACTGGCTGTGAGTCCGAAAGTGTCACCGCTTTGGTGAATTTCGTATCCAGGTAACATAATTAGCACAGGGCTATCCTAATGGTCTCTATTTCCCCTTCAATAGCGGATCTATTGTGTCCCGCTGATGCGTAGAAAGAGAAGAGTTCAGAATAGACACCTGCACCAATGTTTGCTTGGTTTTCTATGTATGACCCGTCAGTGAAGACAAGAAGCCACTGATCTCCAGGATAGTTGACATTGATTGTCTCAGCGGGCAGTGAGTGCATTTGTTCTGGAGGGGTGTTCGATTTCCTGAAGAAGTCAAGCAGTGGGATGCAACACACTACATCAGTGTCTGCTAATGGGTTCATGGAGAAAGAGACGCTTTTTGGTTTGTCATCGATTTGTAATGCTTTCTTCAGTTCTATGGCTTTCTGTATTAGACCAGATTGCGTTTTCAGATGTCTTGGTCTGTTCTCATAGGTGCTGAAGAACTTGTCCATGGGAATGCGCAGTAGCTTCTCATACAGNTTGAGGTCTGGAATTCTCTCCTGATTAAGACCTTCATTGTGTGGAAAGACATCGGCCGGTCTATGCCTTACAAAATCGTTGTCTCCTTCTTAGTAAATGCGTCAGCAAGCTCATTGCCTTTAATGCCACAGTGACCAGGAATCCATTGTGGGACCAATGTTTTGTTTTTCTCTCTCAGCAGCTCATAGAGTTTTCTACATTCCTTTATCTCAGCTGTTTTGGGTGGCTCTCTGCTTCCAATTGAGTTTATTGCTGACTGTGAGTCCAAAAGTATCAGCACTTTGGTGAATTTCGTATCCAGGCAACATAATTGGTATAGTGCTTTCCTAATGACCTCCATTTCTCCTTCGAAAGCGGATCTATTGTGTCCCGCTGCTGCGTAGATAGAGAATGACTACTATCATAAAGCATGTCATTGGATGTAAATATTATTTAGTGTGATATAGATTTCTATGTGTAAATGTCTAAGTATTTCCCAGAAATAAAATTAAATCTCAAGAAAATCGAAACTAATGTAATTACTAGACTTTTCAGATATATATATATATATATATATATATATATATATGAAATATAATTGGTAGTTTACCTTTAATAATATTCACTCCTTCAACTCACCCACGGCATACAATTTCCCGATTACTTGAACTGGGCTGCTAGTAAGTCAACTCTGTCGCGTGTGTTCTATCTCATCTAAAAGGCGCGAAAAATAACTCGGGAAAACATTCAAGAGACATATCCTCTCACATAATTTTCATTGGTAAAGTTTTTCGCAAGATCCTGGACCACCGCACTTGGCAAATACAACCAGGCAAGATGAGGAAAACACTAAGGTAGAATTCGCTTAAATAACATTTAATTTTATGGGCGTGGCCCTGGTGAAACATCTACGATCAAAAAGCGATTGCTTTCTACACCCTGTTAACATCGGAATATAAATCGCACATGCTAATTGCGCTATGATCGACCTGATCTTCAACTTGACCTCACAATCAGTTCATTTTAAAAGCGCATTTAAGAGGTTCAACCTCTCCAGAAGTACAGGTCGAATTTGATTAATTACTCCACTGGAAGATGATATTAACCAAAACCGTAGTATATCTGATGCGGACTTTTAGTCCAAATTACTAGCGATTAGTATCGTGATAACGCCTAATTAGAGTGGTCGGTGAGAGAAAATACATCATGCAGCCAGGAATGCTGACAAGGAGCTGATTGTCAGTTAATGAACAATGCACTGGCACGCGAATGTACCCCTTGTCAAATAAGGACAACACTCACTCCGCTAACAATCCAGTTACCCTCGTCGCAAATTAGAAAAAGTAAAGATTTTTAATCTACTCATTAGTTATAAGACGCAACTAACTAGTAGGAATTAATAAGAGAAATTTTCTTATGAAAAAAATAAAAATCGAATCCTTTGTTCGAATTTATTGACTTTGAACATCTGCGCAATTGACGAGAATGAACTTTGCCAAATAGTAAAAAAATTTGCGTCACGATGTTCAAGGGTGTGCGAAATTACTAAAGGTACCAATAAATCTCATGTCAAGAAGAGGGCCATTAGACGACCTTGGGACTATTCAAAGGCAGATTAGTATTGAATGTTGGAGCTGCTTAATCATCAAAATTGTCAGTGTGACCCCATTGTCAATGCCCTATTTTAATTCATTTATTAATTTATATGTTAGTAGTGTAATTAATATACAAATGGTTTAATTCGCTATATAAGAGCAAGATTGATTTTTTTCCGCATTCATCAAATATTTTCTTTTAAACAAATTCATTTTGAATTTGGAGTAATTTAAAGCGGCAAATGAGTATCCAGTTCTTTTAAACAATCGGTAATTTCCATGAAAATCCGTGCAACTAGGCTCTTTTTCCTCTTGCTCCCTATTGGTCTATTCGCACCCGCTTGCTAAGTTCTCAAAGGGAATCTGAAATGAGGGAATAATTCCCTCTTGTGACTTCCGAGGAAAAATCATCAACACTTTTGCAGATAAAAATCAGTCATCATTTTAATTTTCATTGGAACGAATAATGGAAGAACACTTAAATAGCAACCAATTATTGGTCAGTGTTCTTCAAGAATATTACTATGCATAAAAAGTCCTCGGTCTATATTCACGTTTGTTTTGCATTCACTTACGCAATTTCTCACCTATACATCTCTTTTGACTCAAACGAGGTCGTATGCAACAATTTGTAACATTTCCCATTCGAAACCCACTTCATTCTCCCACCCCTCACCCCCCCCCCCCCCCCCCCCCCCCCAAGGTGACATTCTGAAATCCTTATTTTCTGCTCGTTCTTCAACGTTTTGACCGCCATCATTACTCATTTTATCCACCTTCTCACTAATTGAACACAACTTCGACTTTGCTCAGGATGGGGAGTAAGTTCCAGGCCAACCAAGCCTCAGTTCATTCTCATCGCTAATCGACATAAGAGTCTTTTTGAATGGCGTATGCCACATTCTCCCAAATGAGTCAGTCGGCATGAGTCACCAAGGCGGAGGAAAAACTCGATTCTCGTTAAGCTACAACCACGGACTATTAACTTTCCCGCTTCAGTTGTGCCCCGGTAAAATGCCCTTCCATCTAAATGCTTGTTTGACTTCAAACTTATACATAGTCCTAGTGATGAAAGTCAAGTTATTGGTGAAAAATTTTAAATATACAATATACCCCTATGGAAACGCGACTTTAATGTGTGTGTTAAATGCTAAAGAAAACCATCCTTTCCAGCATAATTGAAAGTTGATTTTCATTTGCGCAGTCCAGAATGTTATTAAAAAGGCATTATAATAAAACAAAGAAATGGATTATTATTATTATTATTATTTTTCAGCACCCCAGTCCATCTACACATTTTTATCAATAAAATTATTTAAAGCCGTCCTTATCATCAAAATTTACAGCAAAGTGGTGGAGATTGAAGTTTAGAATACTTCAGCACACACACACACAACATTTTATTCACGAATGAGGTATCACCCGACTTTATAGTCAGACTATCGGATTTCTATGTGGGCCGCTCATATTTCAAGAGAGTCTCCACTATTGGTCGTCATTAACTAACTCCACACTTCATTAGAATTTAACAGTTTTCATAAGCTGTGGCGCAATTTCTGTCCCATGAAAAAAATAGGAAACAATATTTAAAAAAATAATATTTCATAGCACTTTGTGTATTCATGAAAAAATGATCAGAAATTGACGAACAATGAATTGATTATTTCAGCCGGAAACAAAGAGTGAATGAAGCTAGTTATGACCGAAACATTTTGTGTTTGTTTCAAATGGCAGGCGTTTTGATAGTTATCATTAGTCCTTTAGCTGACTTCGGGCTTCACAGAGAGGAGGAGGAACATCAAAGTGGGAACAAGTTGAGATGAGGGGCAGAATAACGGTTAACAGATGTGAAAGAGTCAGACAGACACAAAGGCAGAGAAAAGGTAAAATGAGTACTTTGGAAGGGGTCGAATAGGACATACAGTCGGGTCATGTTAGTTTGAAGTCAGTAGTCAAATGCCGGTAAATAGACTCACGTTGCCCAGTGCGCACCACGTGGAGGTAAGTCTATCGCTCACCCCATGACCGAAACATTTAAGGTAGTAAAGATGGAAGTGAATATCCGAATAAATCCAATGTCGGCAAATAAATTTGGGAGGTGAATTCGAATGAACATTGGATTAATGAATTGCTAACGATGCCCTGAGGGGGATTTTAATTTCTGGATCCCAAAATTGGCATCTGCAGGTTGTCAATGCCTCTCTAACTAGAAATATTCTAAGGACACATTTGTTATTTTAACTTCAGCCCGGAAGTCATTGTGTAAGGGAGGATTTTCCGAAAGCTAAGTCATTCATGTTCAAATGTTTTCTTTCCTATAGGATTCCATTTAATCTGCATTTGGATATAACATTTGCAGGAAATATAAAAGTCATACAGAGATTGGCCAGTTGAATAGTGCCACCATATTTATTCAGTTGTCATGCTATGCGCAAAATTAGCCGACCCACGATCAATTCACAACACCAACAGAACCTTTAAAAGTATATAATATTGCCAAGAAAGATGAACGTATCTGTTCCTCCACCCCCCCCCGTTCATGCACGAAATAGGGTGGAAAATATGAAGGGGAGGCTGGCTGACATTTAAGCAGTTTACGATCGAGAGAACCCACCATCTTCCTTCTCTTTTGACATCTCGTTTGAAGGTGAAGATTGTCCATCTCCTTCACTCGGACTTTATTTTACCACACATACGTCAGGCTTAATTACTTTGCAAAGCATTCCCGTCAATTTCATCATCGGCCCTACAACTAACAAATAGAAATGCAATTTAACATAACAATTGAATTATATGAACCAGACGCCCATTGGCAGTCGGTTTTCAATAATTGTTACTCCGTGCTCCGACCTGGGAATGATGATGTTTCCTCTCTGCCTTATTTATAATACATTTTTCAGCTCCGTAATTGGTTTACCAATCACTTCTGTCTAAGTTTCATGGAAGCATTTATGCAATCCTCTCTCCATTCTGAATTTGGGCAAACGTAGGTAGCGAGTTAACTCGATATCTAGTTATCGACAATAATTGTACCTACTTACCGTTCGGCCATTAACTACTTCATTTTTCAGAACCCAAATCAGTCAACATACACTTCTCGAAATCACTTAAGACACATTTCAGGTTGAGGAAAATTAAATACTAGGTACTCCGTTTATTTCCAACTTTCCTATTCTGAATTATTTAATATTTCACCGGCAAATAATTGAATTTCAATAAATTTATGCTTTATTGTGGAATGGGCTTTTAGGATAAATGTGCAAATAAATTCCCAACAATTTCTTTCTTTGATTAATTATTTGGCACAAATGGCTAAAGATTCTACTTTGCATTAAGATTAAAGAATAAAATAGGGGCCTGAATTTACTAGTTAACCACGGCAAAATAAATTTTCATTGTGGAAAAAAAACATTTTTTATCAAATAGCGGGCGTTTTGATAGTTTTTATTAGCCATTTACTTGACTTTAGGCTTCACAGAGAGGAAGAAACATCAAAGTGACAAAATTCGAAATAGGGGGACAGAATAATGATTCAAAGATGTAAAAGAGACAGACACAAAGGCAGAGAAAAGGTAAGATGAGTACTGTGGAAGTGGTTGAATATGACATACAGTGGGGTGATGGTAGTTTGAAGTCAGGAGTCAACTACCGGTTAATAGACTTTTTGCCGTATGATTATACGTTGGCCAGGGTGCACCAAGTGGAGGTAAGTCTATCGTACACCCCGGTTCTAAAAAATAAGATGAGTTTATTGAAAAAACGTTGAGCACGAGCAACAGCTAAGCTAAACAAATTGAATAAAAGCAGAAAATGACAAGGAGCAGAAAAATTTACTGATTTTGATCCTCTTATTACAATGTGTTGTTTAAATTTCAGAATTTTTCCTGTGTTATGAGCATTGTCTCGACGTTGATTGAGCTACTTGATTTGTCAATCGTTTCTAAAGAAACTTTTGTTAAAACGGCTAACATACCATCGAGTCGTAAGAGCTAGCACCTTAATACGACGAACTCTTAATGGGAAGAATCAAATTAATCGAAGCAGTACAACCAATAAAACAATTTGCTTCCTGGCAGGTAGACCAAAAGCTTCATAACCCCCCATTTTCGAAGGTACCATAGGCTTGCCTAGAAAAAAAGCCGGCTATTGAAAAACTCAACCTAATAAAGTTAAAAAAATGGATAATACAATGAATTTATACTTCAAATGCAGTAAAATTCCTCCGTTTCCCCAATTCTGATATCTTTGTTTATTCAACTCACACCATACTCCTCCTGTTTGTCAATCTAATGTATTATTATTTAAAATGACAGGCTTTATGATATTTATCATTAGCCCCTTAGTTGACTACAGCTTCCCCCAATGGTAGTGGGTACATATATAGCAGTTCATTAGCTGTTCTCTGGCTTCCCAGTATCTCTGCCTTTCCGTCGTTGTCATTAGGGTTGGATCCCAGTATCTCTGTCTTTCCGTCGTTGTCTTTAGGGCTGGACATGAATCAGGTGGGTCTTCTCCATTTCCTCCTGTAGGTTACAGAGGGGCATGTTGGTTGAGTGTATACTCCTAATCTGTGAAGGCGCCAGTGTATACTCCCAATCTTTGAAGGTGTTTTGCCAGGCAATCCGTCCGGTACGTAGTCTAAACTCAGCAACGGCTTCGATTCTTGGCCAAAGTCTAAACTCAGCAACGGCTTCGATTCTTGGCCATTCGGCTATGTGGTAGAGTGCCACTCTAAACTCAGCAACGGCTTCGATTCTTGGCCAGTCGGGTATGTTGCAACGGCTTCGATTCTTGGTCAGTCGGCTATATCGGAGAGTACCACTGTCCACTGTTTCTTCTTTATTTCCAGTCGGCTATGTCGGAGAGTGCCACTGTTTCTCCTTTGTTCGAGCTTTAATTTCGTTGCACATTGAGGTCGGTCTCTCCTATAAGTTCGTTACACCTTGAGGTCTTGAATTCTCTCCTGATTAGGACCATCTAATGTATACTCTTACTAACGGAGCACCAAAACAAATGCATCAACCATACGCGTCTAAATAACAGCATGATTAAGTCAGTGACCGATTTCAATGACTTCGCACTAACCCTTCCAATTACTCTTCAAGGATGCTTATATCTTAACGACCATTCGCTTGATGATCGTTTCTCATGGGTTCACTCATTTTTCCTTCTCTAACAAAAGCGCATACAGGAGGCAAACCACTTACAGCTTAAAATACTAGCATCTCAATGTGATATCCGGATTTGTATCCTCTAATCGTATGGAAAAGTAACACTGAGATAAGACAACTTAATTACGATTGATTTGATCCACGAAGGTGTTCAATTTATATTAAGTCTAATTTGCATGCGTTCACACTTGAAAATTCAAATATTTCGGTGTCCTTTGATTGCAGTATGACATTTTCAAAAGTCTAACAAAAGTGACTTTTCATTACCGGTATCCCATAAAAATTTGTCGCAAAATTGATGACAAGGCCTGATAATTTAATCATGAATTTCAACGCACAATGTACAATCAATGTCAGACAGATTTTGCGACAAATCGACGGAATTTGCATTTTTATTATGCTAAAGTAAGTGAAGAAAAGGTAATGCCTTAAGATATACTGCTTTATTTTCAAAATTTTGTACTTTTAAAAGGGAATCAGACTATAATTTCCTTAGCATATATATATATATATATATATATATATATATGTAGCGGATTGCTACGCTAGTAAAGCCTGACCGACTCAGAAATCTCTATGGCAGATTCTCCTACATCTAACTAGACTCCCAGAACAAGCTAAGCTATAGCCCAGCTATAAAGGAAACGGACATGTAGCACGGAATACGTTTACTCAGTACGTATATTGATAGCGAATTGAAATTTTGGCAAAACGATTAGTTATCGGATAAATCTAGCATTATTCGAGTGAACATTAATAGCTAAATATCTCTGAGTGGTGTTCTGTAGCTGGATTTCTATTGGTCATTGGCTGTGCTTCTCCGCAACCAATCCGTGTGCGAGGTTGCACGGCCGCACCTTAAGCCTAGTGTGCGCGCCCGTGATGAGTGTCCCACAGTTTCGTCACTCTACAGAATTAAAATAATAATGCAAGTAGTATTTCTCTTTATGAACCAAAATAAATGAAAAAATTAATATGTAGATAGCATGATATTTGGCAATAGTTCAGTCTTTCAGAAAAACAAATAGCTGTAGGTACTCAAACCTTCTGTAATTTGTTCAAGTCCTGATTTTAAAATCTGGCTTGTTAATTGGAATTTACTATTTAACTGATTGTGTGTTGGTAGACTTGTGATCAGGATCTTCATCTGCACTTTCGGAAGTTGTAGGCTTGAAACTCATACAGTAATCTCTATTGATTTATTCTGATTTTTAGTAAATTGGTGATCGCATGAATTAAAATATGCGATATGGGTTCAACAACCTTGATATAAAGTGGACATGCAATTAATGGTTTAAAGAAACATTGGTTAATTACCATTCAAATATTTTTAAAAAATTGTCTTTTCCCTAAAATTACCTTTAATGTTTGCGCTTACTGTCATTTAACTCATATTCGTACGAGGTAGGAGTGAACATGAAGCCTTTGAGCGCTGCCTCTTAATACTCTGGACCAATAGTCATTAGCATTAATTAAATTGCCTCAGACAAACTAAATCTCCTCATATCCATCGTCATTAAATCCGTAGATGAATCAGCGCCAAGAGGGGCGAATTAGGTATGAGAGGGCACTAGCAAATGACGATTTGAAGGGGCTTCCTTTGCTCGCCTAGGGACTGACAAAATGTCGAAGAGAAACAAAGGGTGGAAATTATTATTATTATTATTTAAAATGGCAGGCTTTATGATATTTATCATTAGCTCTTCGACTTTGACTTCAGCTTCCCCCAAGACAGGGGGGTACATTTATAGCAGTTAATTAAAATCAATTCATTAGCTGTCTTTTTGCTTCCCAGTACCTTTGGGTTTCCGTCGTTGTCTTTAGGGCTGAACACCGAATCAGGTAGGTCTTCTCCATTTCCTCCTGTAGGTTACAAAGGGGGCATGTGGGTTGAGTGTATACTCCCAATCTGTGAAGGTGTTTTGCCAGGCAATCGTGTCCGGTACGTAGT